GGGATGCTCTCCAGCAGCTGCGCCTCGCCGAGGGCGTCCCGCAGGTGCCTGGATCGTCCCGAACGGTCGCCAGAGGCCCGAGTTATGGTCCGAAAACCACCGGGGACGGGGATAGGCAAAGGGGGTGGGACGCATCAGCTTCCAATCGTCCACTCATCGCCGACAGGGGCCCGATAGTCTACCCCCTCCCAGGAAGGTGTGGATTCACACTATCGGGGGCCTGTCGCCGATCTATTGGCGATGCATCGCCGATGCATGATCGATGTTTCCCCCCTCTGCCAGTCCCCCCCTTTTCGTTGCCCCCACCTTTACATACGTATACATACACGTATATACGCAGCATCTTTGAAGATCGTGCGTGCAGGGAACGATGACGGCAACGATCTGACGAAGGGTGACCCTCGCTGCCGAGGGGGATGTTGTGACCTCTCTAAACGCTGGCTCTCTCACCCCAGCTCATACAATGCCATCGAAGGGCCGAGTTTGCTGCCAGATCCGCACGTTTCGCGAGAACCATAATCAGGGGGCTCACGTTGCCATGCCCTTCTCGGGGGAGCGCTATCGGCAGGAGATGGAGTGGAGGGATCATGGGGGAGGGAGCAAGCATTTGGAAGGTGGATCAGATGGAGGGACGAGCGGGTGAAAGCGTGGAGGTACGAGAAGGGTGTCATTGGCACGAAGCGGTGAAGAAGATGGGGGTGAAGGAGGGGGAGGAGGAGGAGCGTGAAGAGCGGCACGAGGCGGAGGAGGAACGAAAAACAGTGGCCTAGGAGTTCTCATCCCGGCGAAGAAGGACAGCACGAGTGAGACGGCATGTGGTGAGGCTCTGTTCTGTGAGCTTTCTGGCAGACGTGGCTTTTGGGTTTGACTTCGCTTGGTGCTCGCGGAGCAGGTCTGGCGAGGAATTAGACCGAGTGGAATGTGGAGGAGTAGGGGGAGGCCAAGGGGAAGGGTTGGGCAGGAGAAGGATGAAGAGGACGAGGAGGAGGAAAGTACTTAAGAGAAGGAGAGGATGAAGGCAAGGGGAGATGAGAGAAGAGATGGACGAAGAAGGAGCATGATCGATGAGGACGAGGTTGGAGGAGAGAGCAGGTCGAGAAGGGATGCTGATGATGATGATGACGACGATGATGATGATGATGATGCTGATGATGATGATACTGATGCGGTTGATGATGATGAGGAGGAGGAGGAGCATGAGGATGGGGACGAGAATGAGGATGATGATGGTGGTGGTCGTGGTGCTGATGATACTGATAATGGTGGTAATGATGGTGATGATGATAGTTATGATGATAATGATGATGATGCTGCTGCTGATGATGATGATGATGATGCGAAGGAGGAGGCGAAGGAGGAGGAGGAGCAGTGTAAACCGAAGACTCTTCAACAATGTTGCAGTAAACCCTCCCTCTAAACTCCCTCTTCAGAGGCACCCTACAAGGATGCATTTTCGAGGGACGGGCCCCGTTGGAAGACAACCAGTTGAGAATCCTGAGCCGCGCCAGAACATGTATGTCTGCCGTCAACGTCGCGAATCACCTTTACTGTTTTGTCTTGACGAGCATGAATCGTGCCAGAACGCCATTTGAGGGACTTCAACACCACGAATCAACGTAACTTTCGCGCCCTGACAGTTCGATATCGTGCCAAAGCACCGTTTTGGGAATGTTGACCATGAGAATTCTTGAAACTGCTGTAAACTCTTAAAACGAGCCTGCGCGGCGCTAATGCGAGAGCCACAGTTTGAACATGAACCGCCCTCCTTCCGCGAAAACTGCTGCAACTTGTTAAGACGAATGTGCGCGGCGCTAAGGCGAGAGCCATATTTTGAAAACGATTCGCCTTTCATCCGTGAAACTGTTGCAAACTTTTGAGACGAATGTTCGCAGCCCTAAGGCGAGAGCCACATGTTGAAAACCATCCGCCCTTCATCTGTGAAGTCCTTGCAAACATTTGAGGCGAATGTGCGCGGCGCTAAGGCGAGAGCCACATTTGAGAACGACCCGCCCTCCATCCGTGAAACTGTTGCAAACTTTTGAGACTAATGTGCGCAGCCCAAGGCGAGAGCCACACATGTTGGAAACCACCCGCCCTCCATCCGTGAAAGTGTTTCAAAGTCCAGTAACCTGGATCAGGAGGTCGCAGGCGAAACTCCCGGCCCGCCCTTTCGACTGGCCTCGGGGTGCGACAGGGAGGAGTTGTTTACAAGGACATGGAATGGAGGAGAAGGAGGAGAAGGAGGAGGAGGAGGACTATGAGGATCAGGAGGAGGAGGAGGACTATGAGGAGGAGAAGGAGAAGGAGGAGAAGGAGGAGAAGGAGGAGAAGGAGGAAGGAGAAGGAGGAGGAGGAGGACTATGAGGAGGAGAAGGAGAAGGAGGAGAAGGAGGAGAAGGAGGAGGAGGAGAAGGAGGAGCAGGAGGACGGGGAGGCGGAGCAGGAGGAGGGGAGGGCGACGCCTCTGGGGAGACCCCCAGGCCCTCCTCACGGCGAAGCTGCTGCGCGCGGCGGAGACGCGGGCACCACCCCCCAACCGCCTTTTTTGCTGAGGATAGGTTGCCTCCAAACCTTCTCGTCCCTCTCCTGTCTTGGCCTGTTGCTGCGGCCGTTGGATCTGGCACCATCAGGCGGCGCAGCCGTCCCTCTCCGTCTCCTTCTGCTCCTCGTCCTCCTCTTTCTCCTCCCTCCTCCTTCCTCATCCCTCCATCGCCTGATCACCCCTCCGGCTCAAGGGCGCCGCCGGAGCACTTGAGCCGTGCCTCTTGTCCCTCTAGTTGCTGGCTCCTCCTCCTGTTGCTGTTGTTGTTGAACTCTCATTCTTGAAGAATAATTATTGTTGATCCCCCCCACCGGTGCACATTGTTTTTTTCAATTGAAGTGCCCCCCCCGGGGCTCGCACCTTGTTTTTGGTAAAGGAAAGTCTTCCTGCTCAAACTGGCCCCTTGGCCCCCGGGTTGAGATAACAACGGCTCCCGCCTGAGACTTCCTCACAATTTAGCAAGGACCCCCGCTCCCGCCCGACACTTCCTCGCATGTTATAAAAAAAATCGCGCTCTCGCCTGGGACTTCCTTACGATTTATTCAGGAATCGCTCCTCCTGCGCCCTGGAGTCGCGCTCTCGCTGGAGACTTGCTTGCAATTTACAGAAGAATAGCGCCCTTGCGTTGGCATTTCTTGCAATTTGCTTCAGCGCCGCGCTCCCGACGCCCAGGCACCCAGGAGTCGCGCTCACGCGTAGGACTCCTTCACAGATTACCTAGAAATCGGGATCTCGCTGCCCTTCGTGGCCCCGTTGTAGCCCTTCGTGGCCCCCTCGCTTTGTTTCGTGGCCCCGCTGCAGCCCTGCGTGGCCCCCTCGCTTTGTTTCGTGGCCCCGTTGCAGCCCCTCGTGGCCTCCTCGTTGCCCTTCGTGGCCCCGTTGCAGCCCTTCGTGGCCCCCTCGCTTTGTTTCGTGGCCCCGTTGCAGCCCTTCGTGGCCCCCTCGCTGCCCTTCGTGGCCCCGTTGCAGCCCGTTCGTGGTGGCCCCGTTGCAGCCCTTCGTGGCCCCCTCGCTTTGTTTCGTGCCCCCATTTTTGTATGCCCTTCGTGGCCCCCGCTCGTTCGCGCCCGTGGTGGCCCCAGATGCATGCCCTTCGTGGCCCCGCTGTCGCCCTTCGTGGCCCCCTCGCTGCCCTTCGTGTCCCCGTTGCTGCCCTCAGTGGCCCCGTCCTTACCATCCGCGGCCCAACATACGTATGCCCTTCGTGGCCCCCGCTCGTTCGCGCCTGTTGTGGCCCCATGTGCATGCCCTTCGTGCCCCCGCTGTCGCCGTTTGTGGCCCCCTCATTGTCCTACGTGGCCCAGGTGCTCGTTCGCGCCCGTTGTGGCCCCATGTGCCCTCGTGGCCCCGCTGTCGCCGTTTGTGGCCCCCTCATTGTCCTACGTGGCCCCTACCCTCAGTGGCCCCATCGTTGCCTTCTGTGGCCCCGCATTATCTGCCCTTCGTGGCCCACGCTCGTTCGCGCTCTTCGCGGCCCCATACGCATTCCCTTCGTGTCCCCGCTGTCGCCCTTCGTGGCCTACTTCGTGTCCTTCGTGGCTCTGCTGTCGTTCTCTCTCGCTCTCGCTTTCGCTCGTCGTCGCCGTCGTCGTCGTTGCCGTCGTCGTCGACGTCGTCGTCGTCGTCGTCGTCGTGGTCGGTCCCCTGTCCGTCCCTCTTGGGGTCGGGTCGACGGTCCGCGGCCGCCCCGCCGATCAGCGCTGCCGCTGGCCAGGCCGACGGTCCGCGGCCGGCCCGCCGCTTGCCGGGGCCCGGCCTGCAGGGAAGAAAGGTATACCCCCCAAAAGGGGTTCGATCGAAGACGAAAAGGGCGGGTATCGAGGTTTAGGGAAATTCGCGTCATTCGACACTCGAGCAGATAAGAGCGAACAGTCTTAAACTGATTGTTGGTGTTGTTGTTGTTGCTGCTGCTGCTGCTGTTGTTGTTGTTGTTGTTGTTGTTGTTGTTGTTGTTGTTGTTGTTGTTGTTGTTGTTGTTGTTGTTGTTGTTGTTGTTGTTGTTGTTGTTGTTGTTGTTGTTGTTGTTGTTGTTGTTGTTGTTGTTGTTGTTGTTGTTGTTGTGTCGGAGGCCTCCTCCAGCGTCCCGCTCCCTCGTCGTCCCCCTCCTGCTGCGCGATGGAGCGCGCGACGACGACGACGTCGACGACGACCAGCGACGACGACGACCAGCGGACGACGACGACCAGCGGGCGACGACGAGCAGCGGACGGGGACGCCGCCTGTTCGGCGACACGGGGCCCCGCCACCGAGGCGACGCGCTTCCCTCGTCGTCCCCTTCCCTCGTCGTCCTCTTCCCACGTCGTCCTCTTCCCTCGTCGTCCCCTTTCCTCGTCGTCCCCTTCCCTCGTCGTCCCCTTCCCTCGTCGTCCCCTTCTTCCGCTCCTCCATCGCCGTCTTGCGGAGCGCTTCGCTCGCCGGCTCGGAGCCCGCTTCGCCGATGCTCTCGCGATCGGTTGGTCGGCCGTCGTCTCTGTGATGCCGCGGGTGTCTCCCTCATGGCGCAGCGCCAGCAGTAATGAAGACCTGTGGAGGGGGGTGGATCACGGAGCCGAGAATGCGCAACCCACCTTGGGGTTGCGTGCGCGAGTGTCCAAGAGAGCGGGGTAGAATCGGGCGTCATTTTTGCGGGCGCTCCCCCGTGCATGCCCTTGCTCGGAAGCATTCGGGTCATCACCTTCTGGCCCCCATTCTCCCCCGTTGCTGGACCCGCGTCGGGCTCTTGGCCCAGCCCACTCCTTCCCCACGGCCCTCGAGTACGTAGCGATGTGTGTCCGCAGGGTGGCCCACCATGATAGTCGGGCCCACACCCCCTCCCCATATCAGGCCGCCCGACACCCGGTTCGGGCCAGCCTCTGACGCCGTCGACCTGCCCTTGGCCCCTCGGCAGCACTGCCCGCCGTTGGGTACAGCGGTAGGGCGTCGTCGGAGACTTGCCCCCCCGCAGACGCATCCGTCACCATGTCCCTTCCCTTCGCCCTGTTTCCCTCCCTCCCTTTTGGTTCTCTCTCTCTCTCTCTCTCTCTCTCGCTCTTTCGATTATATATATACATACATATATTTATATGTGCATAGTTATATGCTTCTCTCTCTCTCTCTCTCTCTGTTTTAGCCACTGTCTCTCTCTCTCTCTCGCTCTCCCTGCCTCTCTCTCTCGATGTCTATGCTTGTGTATGCGTGGACGGGTGATGTATGCGTAGGTGCGTGTCCCTCTCTCCCTCTTTTTCTCTGCATGTATTATCTATCCTTTCGTCCCTCTCTTCTTGACTTGGTTGTGTCTATATATATAAATACAGATACCACTATCCCTGGGGCAGAAGAAGGAAGAGGAGTTGGATGAAGAGGAGGGGAAAGTGTGGAAAGGCTTGGAAAGGTGAAGGAGCAGAAGGAGGAGGCAGAGGAGGATAAGGAAGAGCATGATGAGGTCGGGCAAACGGGATGGGAAGGAAGAGAGGGAGGATGCGGACGAGGAGCAGTGGGAAGACGATGATGATTATGATGCTGATGATGATTCTGATGCTGATGCTGATGTTGCTGATGATGATGATGCTGATGATGATGAGGAGGAGTAGGAGGAGGAGGAGGAGCAGTGGCTACATATGGCAGACATGGGGCAGAGGGATTGGAGCAGCAGGAGGAGAAGGACAAGGTGACCTCCTAGTCGTCCAACATCGCCCTCCTGAGTCGAGTTTCGAGGCTCCCGCGCGTCCTCCTCGAACAAGTGCGGGGGCGGCCAGAGCAGCGGCTGAAGAAGGAGGATCAGAATGCCGAGGAAGAGAACCTGATTCGTCGTCATCGTCGAAGCACGAACATGTGCAGCCTGAGCGCAGGTCATTCGATCATGCGCCCATGCCTGCTTAGCGTCAGACTGTCACCTGTCTTCTTCCCCTGAGCTATAGGAGGCTGGAGGGTTTCTCCGAAGGGCTTAGGCGACCCGTCCTCCTCTTCCTCCTCCTCCTCCTCATCATCATCCTCCTCCTCCTCCTCCTCAATCTCCTCCTCCCCCTCCTCCTCCTCCTCCTCCTCGTCCTCCTCCTTCTCCTCCTCCTCCTCCTCCTCCTCCTCGGGTCGCCTACGGCCCCGGGGGAAACCGTGCAGAGGAGGCTTACACCACAGGCCGGCGCCGGCGCCCGCGCTGCCTACAGAAGACAAGGAGGAGGGACTCGGAGGCCTCGGAGGCGGCATGCCCCCCTGCAGCTCACGTCGCGGCCGCGCGTCGCGGCTTGGGCCTGGAGGGAGGGGGGGAGGGGGAGGGCGCGGAGGAGGAGGAGGAGGAGGAGGAGGAGGAGGAGGAGGAGGAGGAGGAGAAGGACAACGATCAGGATGAGGATGATCAGGGAGCAGGGAGCAGGGAGCAGGGAGCAGGAGCAGGAGCAGGAGCAGGAGGAGGAGCGCCACCCGGTTCTCTTGCTGCATCCCGCCCGCCGAGTCCGATCGGACCGGTCGGCGCTACGTCGTGTTCGTGCGGCACGCCCAGCCTCGCGAAGGCGCCGCGCTGCTGCTGTGGAGGAGCAGGAGGGACAGGATCATGGGGAGGGCATGGTGCCCAAACCTCTACCCCTTCCTTGTTTCCCCTGTTCGGGCCTCCTCGGAGGCCCTCGTCGCCACCGCTGGATTCGCCTCGAAATCCTGGTCAGAGCGCACCCGGGGAGAGGTCCCGGGAGCAGCGGCATCGGTACCTTTTGGTTTCCCCAGAGCAGGGGGAGGGCGCGGGTGGGGTGCCCAGGTGACACCAGGCGTTGCAGTGGTCTGCTTGCCGCCTGGCGGGCGCATGCTCTTAGCCCTCGGGGGCCCCCTTCTTTTCGGTTCTGGTGGCCCGTCCCAGTCTGCTGCGCCCGCCAGGTGAATTTGTTTTCGCTCCGCTGAGTCGGCATTTTTTCCCCCCCCTTTTCTCCCCACTTCACCCATAGACGCAAATAATCGTCGGTCCCCGGGAAATTGTGGGAAAGTGGGGGGGATTT